TTTGAGTTTTGGCCCCCTGTGCAATTGAGTTTGACACCCCTGCCTTAAAGGGACAACACCCCTTTCCTTCCAGATAGCCGGACAAACGAGTTTCCCTTTCTTTATTTCTGACTATTTGATGAACTAGGTTTAAGAGAACCCTCTAGCAAAATCAGTACCTTAGTAAGATATGAAATCCTTTGTTATGCCTAAAATCTTTGGAAACATATTTTTTAAAGTTGGTGAACTTTCATAAACATGTCTATTGTTATGGAGATCACACAAAGTAAATTAATGTTCCCTTTTTCTAAAAGCAATGAATATTGTTATGAACTCACTAAACCTCTGTGACTGATTAATTTTAAATAGTGTCTTGTTTCAGTGAGTTAAATGTATAGTAATCTGGAATGATTACTTTATGAAGGCTTAAGAGTATATTTAAAATATAAAACCATCTCAGAAATACTGATTAAGAAAATGTAAAACAAAGAAGAGCTGCATCATGTATTCCATAATATTTAATGTTGTATTCAGCAGGACAGCTGATTTACCCTTACTACAAAGTTTTTGCAAATAAATTTCTGACAAAATTCAGGGTATAACAAAATACCTGTGACTGATATTTTTTATTCCCAAGTTTAGTGCTTTTAATTAGGTACCTTCTGCAAGTCCAGTCTTCACCATCTGGCATGTAGTGGAAAAAATGCTCCATTTTTTAATTTTTTATTTTAAAATGTTCTGCAATTTCTTTCTAATGTCATTTGCTTCATTTGGGTTCAGGGATTTGGCTGGAAGGGGATGAGCAGGGAGGGGAGAGGAGGGAGACTGTGGGGAGAGGGCGGGGCCTGGGTGGAGTGGGGGCGGGCCTGGAGTGGGGCAGGGGTGGAGTACGGGTGGGGCCACAGGCAGAAGAGGTGGGATGGGGAGTTAGCCTCCCCAAGCAGCAGCTTCACCCACTGCCCATGACAGCAGGTAAGAGCGGGTCGGTTCCCGCACACCCAGCATGCGCTGCAGTGTCCCTAGGCAGGGGCCATATTCACAGAGCCAAATACGCCGGCACTGCGCATTCTGTGTAAGGGAGAGGGTACGGGGGCCTCTGCGGGGAACTGTGACTCTCTACCACCGTGAGGCAGGCGGGGCGACTTGGTATCCTTGCTGCTTCGTCCCTCCCCCACGCCCAGGCTGCCGTCGGGCATAGGGGCACCAGTTTAATAATACTGCGTAGGGCCCCATGAATCCTAAGGATGGCCCTGAGGACTGGCCTCAGTTCCTCTGGCTGTACAAGCAGAGATCTCTACTGTTTGAGCTGAATGGCCTGGCCTGTTAGATGAGTGGAAATAGCAGGTTCATAACTCGCTACCTGAGCTCTAGCCTCTAGAGGGAGACAAAGAGCTCTCAGGTGGCAAAGACTAGAGCTGGGCAAAGCAGGGATTTTTTTAGTTCACAGACAATTCTGAACAATTGAAAGAAATCATTTTGCGTCAAACCATAATTGAAATTTTTCAACATTTTTGGCAAATTGAAAAGTAAAAAAACAACATTTTGGGTCAAAATGAAGTGTTTGGTTCAACCCAAAATTAATCATTTTGTTTTGACTTTGAACATTTTTAATGTTTAACAGAATGTAAATAAAATTAAAGGACATTTTGAAACAAAAAGTCATTTTGAAAATGTCAAAATGAAATGTTTCTTTTTTTCAGAATTTTAGTTGGGGGATTTTTTTCTTTAGTCGAAAGAATTTAGCAAAACGGACACAAATTTGCAAGAGATGTCAGGATCACTGAATCTGCATTTTTTGCTTAACAAATGTTTTGGTCAAAACTTTTTGCCGAGCTCTAGTAAAGATGCCTGAGCCATGTGAACACTGGCACTTACGCTGCGCCGCTGCGCCATTGGCTGGGGAGGGGGTATAATAGATTCCAGTGTAGACAAGGCCAAAGTGGAACAGACTGTCAGGGAGAGATGCCCATTTCCAGCTTGTAGCCGAGAGAACCAAACCTTGGAGAGCCTGAAGCCTGAAATCCAGCCCTAAGGACTGTTTATCCAAGCCCGTTCTCTGTTCATTCACTAGGAATAAGCCCGAGCTTGCCTCTTTCCTTTGGGCAGCATGTGAAGAGCAGGAAACCTCCCTAGTTGATATAAAGGATCAGGTCACTCAAGTTGCACTGAGACTGGCACAAACGTAACTAACTGCAGCTTAGTTGCTGTAAATACATCTTGCAAGAAGGCAGCCTCAGTGTATACCCTCTCTGGTCTCGGCTGACAGCATGAACTCTGAGCAGCAAATCTCATACACCCACTGGGAGGAAAATTGCACAGACGTGCTTTGTCTTTCAGAGGAGAGACCGGGGTCGGCCCAGCCCCAAATTCAATGGGAAGGGAAGGGAATTCAGCAAAAGTGAGAAACCAAACTCTCATTACAGCACCTGCTGCTCTTCAGAAATCTTTTGATAGAAGGCACATGCAAGAGAAGCTCTCCTCTGAGCAGTGCCAGCCCAATGCCACAGCTACATAGGTCAGCTTACCTTACCATCGCCTACAGGGGGGAAAGCCACTTGGTCAACAAGGTCTTTGGTGTGGCGACAGCTGGGGGAGCAGTTCGCAGCCAACAGCTGATTTAACCCAGTTAGCCCTTTTCCCACTGAGTCCCGAGCCCACTCGTCCGAATCCATAACTCCAGCATCACTCTGGCCACAAAACCAAGCAGCCCCCTCCCCAACCCTGACTGCATCCTCCCTGATAGATCAGTTGCCTCCTGCCAGTTAGAATCCCAGTCCCACCCATTGACAACACAACTGAGGGGTGACACTGTAAGGACATCCCTTGTGAGGACTCTCCCTGCTCCCTCCACATCCCTGTGAGAGGGGCTGGCTCCTGCTCTGTCTATAGCTGGTGGGTCTGCTTTCCTGCCTCAGTAACTCACATGGAGTGAGGGGGCTGCTCCACCCAGCTCCTGCATCTGGTGCCTGCCTCTGTGTGGCCCCCCACCTCCGTGCATGCTATTAGCTGCTCACCACCCCCACCCCTGTATCCACGCCCTACACACTACTGCAGTAATATTTGTACAAGCCATGCCTTGTGAGGTATCGCATGCAAGCTAAGAACATGCTGGCTGTGAATATCACTGCAAAGTGCACAGGTTAGCGGTATGTGCGACATTATGAATTCTCTCTGTGTGATGTTATTAGAATGGGTTTAAGACCAGACAGCCTAGGCTAGTCAAAGGTGATAAGCAGGTGTGTCCGAGAGGAAGGAATGGGGATTTACCTTAGCTTACATATCGGCCATAAACAAAGCCATCAAGCTAACCCAGCGGGGTTATCCTGGGCCCGAACTAGAGAGACAGAGAATTAACCTGGCTCCTGCACCCCAGAGAGATACAAGAGGCTGGATCCCCAGGAGGTCTGCCTGACTTGTAAGACACAGACACTCCTAGAGCAGCCAGCATTCACGCAGCCAGGGCATGTCAAGGTAAGCCTTGTAGAAGTTAATGGCCAAAGGCAAAGCTTGAGGTTATTTAACAGCCAATCAGAAACTGTTGCTGGAGGGGAAGGAGTTCCCCATGGAAAAATTTGAGTTTTTGTTGAAAGAACAAAACCCTGACAGTCGAAAACTGACATATTCCCACTAAAAGCTGCCAAAAAGTTGCTTGTCAGTTTTCTGACTATAACAGTCCCTCTGTACCGGTGTGTCTGCAGCACCAGATGTCCCACCACTCGCCACTTGAGCAGTTGTTTCAGCTCAAGTACTACCCTCTCTGGTGCTCTTTTAGTGGGATGCAGGGTTATCTCCTCACACAGCCCATGGTTTCACAGAAAGCCCATAAGGAATAACATGAAACAGCCTCCTGTGAGTCTTTTCCGCCAGTCATTCGTCCTGGCCTTTCCTCAGACTTATACTTTTCTAATCCCCAAAGAGAGGGAGACTCCGCGCCCTTTGCTTCCTGGTGTCTTCTTATCAAAATAAATCTTTAAACAGTTCTGGCCATCAGAGGCTTAACTCCTAAAGCACAACCGTGCCTGAGCCCTTAGTCTAGGCAGTATCCCGCTGACAACCTTCTGCGGCAGTCCCTGCCTCAGCGCCTTGCTGCCCTCGCCCAGCTGAGACAGATAGGTCATTAATCAGCCACTGGTGCTTCCCGCTTTGGGCTAACTTGGCTCCCGGAGGAGCTGGTCACAGGGGCTGTCAAGCCTGAATCCCCACTCTGTCACTTTCAGTACAGAAGTGGGGGCCCGCAAGGATTTAAAAAATTAATACTGGCCACTCCAGGCTTGTATTAAACTCCCAAGGTAACAGCTTTTCTCTGACCTTGGCTTGGTAAATGCTGCCACCACCCAAATGCCAAAAACCACCTTGGACCCAGGAAGGTGCACTTGGGAATTCCTCCCTGTGGGGTACCCTCAAGCCCTTTCACCCCCCCCCCCCTCCGGGGAAGAGCTGAGAAAGAAAACAAAGGAAATCAGCTGTTGCAACCAGCTAATCAAACAACATGTACAAATCTCTTAGGACACCAAAAATCCAATCCTGTTCTTTAAAAAGGTAAATTTTATTAAAAACAAAAAGGAACAAAATACATCTGGAACTTAGGCTTTTGTTAGATTTTAAAAGAGCAATTCCAAAAATTAAGCACCCAAAATAGCTTTCTTGGGGGTTCAGCTTAAAGGTTATAGGCAAACAAAAGCATCTGGGGTTAGCACAGAGGAGAATAATAAGCCGAAATAAACCTGATCGCGTCTATTTAAACATTCCTAATTTACTTACATATTTTGGGGGTTTCAAATAAGTAATTCTAGGTATGATCTGATGATTTTTCATACCTGGCTTAAAGCTTTACACACCATTTCTGCTGCCCTCTTTCCCGGAAAGACACAACAGACACAAAGGGAAAGCTTCTTTTCCAATTTTAAAAAGTTCTAGCCTTCCCATTGGCTCTTTTGGTCAGGTGCCCACTCCTTTTTTACCTGTGGGCTTGTTAACCCTTTACAGGTAAAGCAAGCAGAGAACAGACACCAAGAGGGATTTTACAGCTAACTATCTGGCTGGGTGTTCATAAAATGGAGCTATCCCCACTTCATTTATCACAGGGGCTGATCCCACTTGCCTTCCGACAGGGACCAGACCCCCTATATGACACTGACAAACAATCACAAATGTTGAAGGAAAGCAGCCACTTACCACGAAAAAATTCTTTTCCTTGAAAACCCAACTTCACATTGAATAAAGGGTTTCAACAGAATTTTTTTTATCAGCCTTGTTTGTTAATCACTCATTGTTAATCAGCACAGAGCCGTAGCACTTTGCTGCTGAGCACCTACCTGTTTGAAAGGATCCACTGGAAAATAACTTCATAGGTTAGAGACAATACCTTCAACTGCAGCCACACCCAGCCAGGCAGCTATGCACATCCAAGGGCGCTAGGGTCATATGCTTCCTGTGAGGTTCTCCGAGCAGCTGGTTGCCATGTTCCGTGCCCACTGCTATCTCTGAGCAGCCTTGAGACATAACTCCGTGTAGAGCACATTGCAGTAATTCAGTCTGGAGGTGACAGAGGTCTGATCACTAGGGCAAGGTTCCTGAATCAGTAAGAAAAAGGGCACAACCTCTTGGCCTAGCATAAATGATAAGCAGCAGCTTCGGACAGCGCCACTCTCAGAGCATCCTGAAGCAGCTGTGGCTTCAGCAGGCCCCTCAGGTTGTGAATCTGGGTAGTAAAGTGGGGAGAAATTTTCCTAAGCGAGGGATCCGATCTGTGCTCTGCCGGGCACGTCTCCAGTCTGGCAGGGTAAAGTTCCGCCAGTCAGGAAACAAAAGGGTCTGTCTCAGAAGGTACAAAACTGGGGATGAAAGCCAGCCAGTTCTCTGGTCAGGGAGTGGAATGCTCCATTTGCATGGCTCGGATGTCATTGGGATATTATTATTTATCACAGCATGAGTCTTCACAAAGCTTCTCTGTGTTTTGTTCTGAGTAAATATCTTAGATCTACTGTGTGTGTGTGATTGCCCCCATGTTGGCCAACACAGATTGAACTGGGAACCTCCAGAGCTAAAAGACAGGTGCTACTGCTTGTAACTGTGACTAACATACACATACCCACATTTAATTTTACAATGATCTGATGCTCACCTCCCACTGGACACATCTGCTTACACGCAAGAGCTGCCTTTCTTGCTGGGAATACTGCAGTGGTTGCAAAGAACACGGAGAGTGGTGACCCTGGAGAAATGTCACCTGTGCAGGGTGAAGGAACCCCCTGCCATCCCATGAACCCTGGCAGCAATAATGCTCTGTCTTTACAAAGCCACCATATATGTTATGGCTAAACCCTTGACAGCTTTCCCTCTTCCTCTCCTTTCTCATGTGATGGCCACTGCCAGCTTAACAGGCTTAGCGACACGATGCATGGGGGCCAGCAGGAGGAGCACAGGCTAAGCACCGGGCTTTCAGCCCTGCTGACATGGGCCTCCTGTGAGGCTCATCCGATTCCTCCCTTCCCCAAGGGGACATGGAAGAGAAGGGGAGGATGCAGCAGTGGAGCTGGGGACTGGGGTGGTGGATCCCTGCAGCCCAGCCAGATGGGAACAAATTTCTCCTTAAGGGACAGGAGCATTAAGGTTGCTAAGTAACCACTTGGCATTGTCCAACCCTGGCTGCTGGGGTTCCATGGATTCCAACGGTACGTGGAGCCAGCCACCAAGCCTCTGTCTGCTGGGGGCTCCGACAAGGAGGGAGGGGAAGAGAGGGCCTTGGGAAGAGCAGGAGGGAGGCGCTCAGAGACTGTGGGTGCATCCCACTCCAGCCCGCTGACTCCCACATACGGCAGCTGAGCTGGGCCCCAGTGAGAGGCTGCATAGGTGGGGCCAGTGCAGGGCTCGCCAGGGGAGCAGACACAATGACCACCATGGAGGAAGAGGACCTGTCGGAGTATTTCCGCATGCAGTATGGGCAGAAGCTCCTGAAGCTGCTGATGTGAGTAAAACGCTCCCCTCCCCATCCCATACTCTTGCTCTCCCTCCCCCCACTTCTATGGTCTTCCACAATTCCACCTTCCTCTGCCTCGTACACCCACCTCCTTCTCTTCTTCCTCCCCACCTCCAGTCCTTCCACAATATCCCTCCTGCCTTCTTGTCTCTCCACCATCTCTCCCTCTCCCACCTTCCCTTGCCCTCCCTCCACCTTTCCCCTCCCCTCCTGGCACGAGTAGAATTCAGTCTCCATGCTCATGGGGCCCTGGGCTTCATCCACACGTGGTGCTGCCTGAGCCCCCCCGAATAGCTCAGAGCCTCCAGGGCACAGGCCGAGCGAACGGCAAGGCCATCTCCCTTGCGATGGGCAGGCAGCACTGAGCTCACGGGCTCGGCCACAGACAGCCCCACGGGGAACACTTTTGTATCTTTACGGCAGGAAATTCCCAGCGCCGGAGGAGCAATCCCCATCGCCATCCATTCGGCTGCTGGAGAAGAAGAAAGAGGCCACGCTGGTGCACAGGGCTATGGAGGCTCAGAAGGAGGTGAGAGGCATTCGTGAAGGACCCTTGCCATGATTGTTATGACCCACAGCACCAGCTACCAGCTGGCCTTCTTCAGAGCCATGCACACCCTGCTCTGTGCCCTCCACCACCTGCTGGGTTCAGTCTCCTCAGGCACCCCCTGAGAGGCACAGCACAAAATCTCTCCCTCTGGCCCTGCTTTGGAGGGTCAGGGTGGGGGACCACTGACTATTGGCACTGGAAGGGGGGCTCACTGGATCAGAGTAGCTGGCTCACCTTTGGCCTTTCTCCATGATCCCTGTAGGCTTTCCGGACGAGGATGGAAGCCCTGAATAACCGATGGGAGGAGCTCAGGGCCAAGGAGATTCAGCTGAAGGCTTATATAAAGAAATTTGAGCAGTTCATACAGGTACAACCAGTCCTGCAGCACTCACATAACACGCCCCTGAGCTGTAACACAGCCACCTTGTTTCCATTACATGTGAACATCTCCTCTGTGGTACACCCACACACACCCCTGAGCTGTAACCAGGGGCAGCTCCAGGCACCAGCGCACCAAGCGCGTGCCTGGGGTGGCAAGCCACGGGGGGCGGCCTGCTGGTCGCCGTGAGGGCGGCAGTCAGGCTGCCTTTGGCAGCATGCCTGAGGGAAGTCCGCCGGTCCCGCGGTTTCGGCGGCAATTCGGCGGCGCAAACACCGAAGGCGCGGGACCAGCGGATCTCCCACATGCATGTCGCCGAATCCGCGTTACCAGTGGACCGCCCGCAGGCATGCCGCCGAAGCCTGCCTCACTGCCGTGCTTGGGGCGGCAAAATACATAGAGCCATCCCTGGCTGTAACACAGCCGCCTGTTCCCATTATGTGTAGAGGGCTCCTCCGTGATACACCCGCACATACCCCTAAGCTGTAATGCAGCCGCCTTTTCCCATTATGTGTAGAGGGCTCCTCCGTGATACACCTCACACACCCATGACTTCTTGAATCTCTTCTCAGCATAGAACAGGAATTGATGTTTCAAGGCAGTAGCCACGACTTTATCCACCAGGGCCCCTCCACTCTGTATCACAGCCAGAGATGGTCTCGGGAGGGGCTGGGTAGGGGTGGGTTGCTGTATGTTGCCATGAGCCTTCAACACCAGCTTTGTCATGCCCAGCTTAAGTGGCATCCATCCCAAAGTCTCAGCCAACATCTTCCCTCAGTGCTGGTAGCAGGGTGTTCTCTGCAGCCCACCTTAGGACCAGATGCCAATGGCTGTGGAAGCTATGGGACCCCATCCCAGCTGCTGGTGACTGTCTAGTTCCATTGCTGTCCATTGGCGTGATCATGGCTCATCCAGGCTTCATCTCCCCCCCCACTCCACCCCACCATAGTCTCTCTCCTCTTCCAAGTACTGCTGATGTTGGAGGGGCGTGGGGCTGGATAGGAGGCATCTCCTTATGATGCAGTCATATCGCTAACCTCCCACATCTCTTGTCTGGGGTTTCCTTTCTGGGGTGGTGGTGGGGGGATTGCTAGGAAAATGACCAAAAGCGAATTCGAGCCCTGAAGAAAGCCAACAAGGAGAAAGAGCTGAAGAAACAGAGGGTGAAGGAGCTGGCCAAGGCCAAGCTGGACATGGCAGTCCTAAAACAGGAGCACCAGCGGCTCTCCAACAAGCTGCAGCAGTACTCCATCTTCAACAAGTACCTGGAGAAGGTGGTCGAGATGTCGGAGGTGAGCCTGGATGCTAGGGGCTCCCACGTGCTGAGATGGGGAGCTGAGATGAGACCATAGGCAGGGGCAAAAGTCTCAGGGGAAGATGAGGAAGGGCCCAGGGTTCCCTGCAGCTGGGTTAGTGCAGAGAGCATAGAGGAGCTGAGATGGGTTTCCCTCGTGCTAGAAAGGACCTGAAGAAGGGAGCAGGGCCATGTGGGAGGGACCTAGGGAAGGGGCTGAAGGTTTTAGCAAAGTGGAGGTGGGACCCCAGGGGCCTGGCCAAGGGAACAGAGGGTAAGGCTGGGATGAGCAGGGCCCTCCCATGTACGCGTGGGATACTCAGGCCGGGGGAGGTGTGATATTTTCCTGGGACGGGGTGATAATGAAGCTAGGGCACAGGAGATGTGCTGGTGTGATAAGGATACTCTGGGGCAGATGTGCTATTCTCCCGTTAGAGGGGACGGGATGTCCTTCCCTGCCTGGGTTGGGTATCAGGGCCACCAAGTGGCAGCGTGATAGGCTCCCGTGTGCCGTGCTGGGCTATGGGGCAGTAATGCCCAGGGCGCTGTGCTGCAGTTTGAGGAGATACGGGAAGTCATTGGCCGGTACAAGACGCTGGTGGGCATGCACCAGGATCTCATGCAGTCGGCGCAGGAGGGGCTGGAGATGATCGAGCAGGCGAAGGTGCGCCTGTCGCACTACACGGAGGAGAAGGACGACGAGATCCTGCAGCACAACAACAAGCTGGCGCGCCTGCAGATGCGTTTCGACCGCGCCCGCAGCGATGTCATCATCTGGGTAAGGGGGGTTCCCATACATGCGCCCCGAGGCAGCCCTCTTCCTCCCCCAGACGCAGGCAGGTGAACTCCCCCAGCTTGCTGGGCAGTGGTGGGACAGGAGGCTGGCAAGGCAGCAGGATACTGCAACCCTCTTTGCGGGGTGGGCGCCTCACCCCTGACCCAATGGGTCACCCCAGGGTTCAATCTGGGACTGCACTGGGCCAGGAGGACAGACCCTGGGTTTCAGGGTGCTGGTGGGTCACAGAATCATAGACGTTAGCCCTTGTGCATAGCAGGAAAGTTCCACTAGGTCAATTTCAAATCAGTCTGTCTACACCAGGGCAAACCCTTGCCACAATTTAAGTCTTGCCTGCGTTGGTTCTGCCTGGCGACCTAAGCAAGACTGATTTAAGAGAGGCGTAACCCAGCGTAAGGCCCTGATTCATCGGAGTACTGAACCGTGGGCCAGTGGGACTCCGCCCACACGTCATGTTAGGCACATGTTGCTGAGTCAGGGTCACTGTGCATCTACACTAGGGGGTGCCTGGGGGTGACAATAAAGCAATGGCATGACCTGGGGGCATTTTTTCTAATTTAGACCAAACTGCTGGGATATGAGAGACCTATTTGGTCATATCCAATCTATCCCCCCAACGCCAGGGCTGGATTGTTCCCCACAGAAAGGCCTCCATGGCTTTGTCTAATGTAGCTGTAAAGGCCTCAAGGCTTGGGGCTTTCACCAGGGCCTTGGATGACGATCCCAGGGCTCAGAAACCTCAGCATGGATATGGTTTTGCATATGTTCAGTCTTTTCTTTGACCAGTTGTAATCCATGACTCCAAATTATACCCCTTGATTCATCCCTTTCTGCTCCCTATTTTCTATTTATACCCTTTAGATACTTGCAGCTAGTTGTCATGGTCCTCCCAGTTCATGGTTGGTAGCCAGGCCCTGTGAGCGATGGGATGACGTGCCTGAGTAAATAGCTGCATAATTCCCCCTGTTTTAGAAGTGGCCGCAGAATTGTGCTCTGCAATCCAAGCTTTCGTTTAAAATCACAACAAAAGTGAAGAAAACCTTCCAAATGCGACTCATCCTGTCTCATTGTTTGGTTCTGGTTCCTTCCCTATTTCTAGTACTGTTAGATTTGTACCATTACCTCTTTGAACAGTCCCTGATGAAGGCACACTGGCTGCTGCTGCTGGTGTGGATTGTTTTTCTTTCCCAGTGGCATTACAATCTGCATCTGCTGCCCCTTTAGCAGGGTATTTTTTTAGATTTCCCCAGCCCTTTCCAGTGCTCCCGGACTATCCATACATCTCCCCTCTGCACCATGCTCACTAGACTTAGCTCCCCAAACCAGCTCTTGTGAACTCTGACCTGCTTGTGCAGGTGCATTCTGGGAACTTGCCACTACGCTGCTGAATTCCCTTAATGATGTTCACCAGCTATGGCTCATGATCCCGAGCCGAGACTTTTCCAGATGTGAATGGAAGTGAAAGGACAGATTGATGCTGTGTAGTGTTCAGGGCAAGGGTGGGTACTGCCCAGGTAGCAGATGGGCCGCTATCATATTGGCATCTCCAGTGCTTTGCCAGCCTCTCTGCTGAGCAGCGTATTTCCATGATTTCTGCTGTCCTCTCCTCTCTCTGCAGGAGTCTCGCTGGGCCCACATCCAGAACACAGCCGCCAAGAAAACCCTCATGCTGGGCACCATCAAGATGGCCACCCTGAACCTCTTCCAGAGCGTGAGCAAGCAACTGAAGGAGACCTTGAGCGTGCCCGTGGAGGACACCCACAAGCAGCTGGATATGGTACAGCCAGGCTGATGCCCACCCCTCACCCCAGGCTCAGGGAAGGAGAGCAGCACCTGCCCCGGCTGCAGGCTCTGCAGAAGAGAGGGCCAGGAGAAAACAGAGTGTCTCAGGCACCTCACCCCATCCTGGAGGGGACTCTCTAGGACAGAGTTGGGGTGCCATTGGCAGAGCAGAGGGGGGTGAACACCAGCAATAAATGAGCATGGAGTCTGAATTGACCCTGGTCCCCTCTTGCCCCAGAGAGGGGCCAGTGCAGGGGAAGGAGGGTCTATGTGTGGAGGCACAAGGCTGGATGAATTGGACGGCGGGTGACTGAACTGGCTACAAATCCCTTGTGTATCCGGGCCATTGCTCCATGCTTTCATTAGCTGGCTCCCTGCCCTAAAAGACTGGCCCCCAAAGAGCCATCCCACTTGCTCTGAGCTGGGGATGCAAATGTCCAGTCCTTCTCCTCTGCAGCCCAATTTAAAGCCATGGGAAATGTGCCTTTCAGAGCAGCCAAACACTTGCCATTCATGCTGCAAAAGCCATTCCAAGCAGTCCTAAACCTCCAGCCCTGCCATCTCTCTTCTCCATCCCAGATCCAGCAGTTCATCCAGGACCTCTCCGACATCTGGGCAGAGGTGAAAAAGAAGGACATCCAAAACCGATCAATGATAGTTGTGGTCAAGGACGTGTAAGGGAAACACCAATTGCCCCTGTTCTGCCAAGGGAAGGCTTGGCCAGCTGAGACAGGAAAGGAAAGGATCTCCCATGGATGCTGCAGACTGCACTTCAATGCTCTCCATCCTCCTGGCTCTGAGCTCCTATGCAAACAGAGACCAGCCGTGTTATAAAGACAATGTATTCTAAGAAACACGTCGTTTTCATGGGGTTTGTTCCTCGCGTTACATTAAAAACCACCCCATAGTGCCCTGACATAGAGCTGGGGGAATTTCTCCACTTACACTTTGTTGTTGAAAAATATAACATAAGAACGGCCATACTGGGTCAGACCAAAGGTCCATCAAGCCCAGTATCCTGTCCTCTGACAGTGGCCAATCGCAGGTGCCCGAAAGGGAACGAACAGACAAGTTATCATCAAGTGATCCATGCCCTATCACCCAATCCCAGCTTCTGGCAAACAGAGGCTAGGGACACCATTCCTGCCGATCCTGGCTAATAGCCATTGATGGACCTATCTTCCATGAATCTATCTAGCTCTCCTTTGAACCCCGTTATAGTATTGGCCTTCACAACACCCTCTGGCAAGGAGTTCCAGAGGTTGACAGTGCATTGTGTGAAAAAAATACTTTCTTGTGTTTGTTTTAAACCTGCTACCCATTAATTTCATTTGGTGGCCCCTTGTTCTTGTATTATGAGAAGGAGTAAATAACACTTCCTTATTTACTTTCTCTATACCACTCATGATTTTATAGACCTGTATCATATCCCCCCTTAGTCGCCTCTTTTCCAAGCTGAAAAGTCCCAGTCTTCTTATTCTCTCCTCATATGGAAGCCATTCTATACCCCTAATCATTCTTGTTGCCCTTTTCTGAACCTTTTCCAATTCCAATATATCTTTTTTGAGATGGGGTGATCACATCTGCATGCAGTATTCAAGGTGTGTGGGTGTACCATGGATTTATATAGAGACAATATGATATTTTCTGTCTTATTATTTATCCCTTTCTTAATGATTCCCAACATTCTGTTTGCTTTTTTGACTGCCGCTGCACATTGAGTGGATGATTTCAGAGAACTATCCACAATGACTCCAAGATCTCTTTGAGTGGTCACAGCTAATTTAGACCCCGTCATTGTATATGTATAGTTAGGATTATGTTTTCCAATGTGCATTACTTTGTGTTTATCAACATTGAATTTCATCTGCCATTTTTTTGCCCACTCACCCAGTTTTGTTAGATCCTTTTGTAGCTCTTCACAGTTTGTCTGGGACTTAACTATCTTGAGTAGTTTTGTATCATCTGAAAATTTTGACACCTCACTCTTTACCCCTTTTTCCAGATCATTTATGAATATGTTAAATAGGACTGAGCCCAGTACAGATCCCTGGCAGACACCACTATTTACCTCTCTCCATTCTGAAAACTGACCATTTATTCCTACCCTTTGTTTCCTATCTTTTAACCAGTTCTCAATCCACAAAAAGACCTTCCCTCTTATCCCATGACTGCTTATTTTGCTTAAGAGTCTTTGGTGAGGGACCTTGTCAAAGGCTTTCTGAAAATCTAAATACACTATATCCACTGGATCCCCCTTGTCCAAATGCTTGTTGACCCCCTGAAAGAATTTTAGTAGATTTGGCTTGACCAAGATATTTCACAAACTTTTCTTGAATTCCCAAAAAATCCCCCAAAACTCCAAACGTTTCAACATTTTCTGACCAAAGCATTTACTTTAAAAAAAAAAAAAAAGAACCCAAACCAAAGTTAAATGTTTCATTTTGGGTCAGACAAAATGCTTAGTTCAACACCAAGTGAATTTTTTTTCAACTTTTTGATTTGCGGAAAATTTTGGAAATTGATTTTTTGGAATTGGTAGATGACTAAAGAAACCAGTTATTTGCCCAGCTCTCCCAGGGCGGGGGGAGGGGGGAAAATGATCGCTCCCCCAGTGTAACGTCTATGAATCCTCTTTAATACTGAGAGAGTGGGGTGTTCTGCATGGGGAAAGAACATCCCGGCGAACCCAGCCCCAGAAAGGCACTAATAAGCAGGCTGGGCAGAAACTGGTCTGACTGTTATGTATCCCCCTCTATCTGATTCCCTGAACCTCCCCCTGCGCCCAGGGACTGGCTCCAGTGTTTTCACATGAGCTCCCAAGGAATATTCCACTTCTCTCAGGGACAGGTAATTTTCCCTAGGTAAAAATTCCCCCAGGCTGATATGGAGGGAATGGAGCGGCTCTCCCAGTCTGGCACGAGGCCTGGGCAGGAGAGTGAGTGCCCTGGGTTGGTGTGAGAGATTGAGGGTAGGGGGGCATGTGCCTGGGCTGGTTTGAGGGGCTAGGGGAGGGGAGCAGGTCCCCCAGGCTGGGGTGAGGGATTGAGGGAGGGAGTGGGTGCAGGGGCAGGTTTGAGGGGCTGGAGGAGGAGAGGGTCTCCCAGGTTGGGGGGATGTTTGGGGGAGTTAGTGTCCCATCTTGGTGTGAGGGGTTAGGAGGAACAGAGAGAGTCTCCTGGGACAGTGGGAGGAGCAGGTCTCTGTGACACTTCCCAGGGGTACCCATGTTTGTGAGGCACCTCGCTACCACCTGCCCTTAGCATGAGGGAGCCTTGTCTGTACCTGCCTGGGCTCAGTTCCATGACACCACCAGTTACTGACAACACAAACATTCCCCCTTGGCCGCTGTGGGCCCCACTTTCTCTGTACAGGTTAGCGATGGGCACACATTAGTCCCTGTGTCCTCCATGTGTCCTCTGTAGTATCGCAGCCCTCTATCCACAGAATTACCCAGCCCACTGTTCCCAAAGGAACAGTGCACCACAGCTTACTAGTTATACCTTACCACAGATCCGTTCAGCACACAGCACGTAGCCATATTTCTAGTGAAAGCAAGAGTAAGTTTGTTATCACAGGCCAGAAATTCAAATGATAGCAAGTAAGAATATTGGAAACAAATGGTTACATAGAAAATAAAATCATCACGTGCTTACTAGACCTAAACTTACCTCACAAGTTATCCTCGTATCAGAGAAGTTTCTCTCACCCAACTTTCTTCCCAGCATGTTCAGCCAAGCTTGGCTAAGATCCCTCTGTCCTGAAGCAAAACCCACTGTCAGTTCACTTCCTCAGGGAAGGATCCTTAGGGATTGATCTGTTCTCCAGATATAATTTCAAATGCTCATTGTGTTAACTCCTAAACAGGCTACCCTCTGCTGGTTTAATATTTTCCTGCAGCTCCAGCAATTGACTGATTCGCCTTTGGCTCCGACTGTAGATGGGCATCCGTTGAGAACTATACAATACTCAGTTTGCACATGGCCAGCCAAAGAGAGAAGTGTCTCTGCCCCCTGCCAGGGAGAAGCATGTGCATCACCCTTTGGTGGCCTGCCTTAACTCACAGTCCTAGTGAGCACCATTTTTAGACTATACACATAACTCCTCACATAGTTTTCCTGTGTACATCTTGCATTGATGATGATGATCAGTGTGACACAAGCTTTCAGTAGAGACCTGACATGACATTCATGAGTGAACTAGTATGCAGATCCCAGACCCAGGGGATCCCTCTAACCCTTAGGCACTCTGTGCCCTCTGCCAGGTGGCACCAAGAGATCGCTGGGTCACAGACTCCCAGGCTGGTGTGGAGGTTTGGGGGGAGCGGGGCTGCTGGGCTGGTGTGGGGTCTCTCTTGACAAATACCCACTGAGGTACCGGCAGCTGCTACGGATCGTTCCCCTTTGAGCCCCATGGCGCCACAATAGAGGTAGGAGACCTTTTGAAATCTCTATTGGGGTGTCGGAGGACGACTGTCCGTGGGGTCATCTGTCCCTGTTGGGCTCACGCCATCCGAACTTATTGACTGTGCAGCAAGGTCAGATGCAGAACAGTTCTGGGGAATTGTTTTGCTGCCCCCAATAAGGTAGTTGTATGCGGTTCTGGGGACCTGTTAGTTTGGCCGCCCCCATATGCATATGAGAGATGCATAGGTATGCACCGGTGCTGAGGGGTTTTTACCGCCCCAAGAGGGGTTGTTACCGCCTCATAGTGTAGATGCATCGTGGTACTTGGGAATAGTACCTGGAAATAGAGGCCTTGGTGTGTGTGTGTGTGTGTGTACACCAGTGTGAATTGAGAGTTACCGGAAGATGCCCAGAGTACTCTGCGAAGTCTTTTGGCTCGCGACCAGAACTACTCTAACGCAAGCCCGGTAACTACAGGATCTTTTAGGAGATCCGACCCACGGTGGGCTAACTTGGCCTGGCATCGTCCGGCGAGGAGGCTACCTGGGTCTAGGAGTGTGTGAACCCATCTTCCCGCCCCTTTTCCTCTCTGTGTGAGCCACTGACAGTCTGATCATCTCACTGGATGCAACGAGAGTAAGCGGTGCCGTCTCTCTAAGACTAGCCGATGCTCTTTGCTGAAGGGAGGTGTAGGAGGGTCGTAGCTATCCTCGTTAGCCTCTCCTGTGTGAGTACCCTGTAGGGAGAGATCCTTAGTTTATGTGCCGCTAGAGCGGACAAGGCATCCTCCCTGTGTGTGTGATTGGAAAATGGGTGGGGAACAGTCTAAGCATTCCCTCTCACCCCCTAAGGGTACCCCAGCTTATTTCATGTACGTACATTATGGTCCTAAAGCCTGCAGGTATTTAGACAATTAGAATCTTTACATGCATGAAAATTCACCTAAACAGTGCCCACTAAAAGGTACCTTC